GTGCATTTGGATAATAAATGTTAGAATTGCTTTTTTTTTCCTGCCGTGTTGCATTGGACCATTTTGCTTTTTCACCTTCACAAATTTATTATGTTATGTTAGTTTTCTTCATTTCTAAACTGTTTAGTAATTACCTTCATGTTAGCCCAAGTGACGTGTTTTTGTATACTGAATGTGACACCGTTCTTAGCACGTGACACATATAGTGTAGTTTATTTTTTATAACATATAAATATTATTATATTATTTTCATTTGCGTGCCTTTAAAGGAAGACCCCCTCAGTCAGAAATGTTTTATTATATTGTTTATTGTATGACGTAATCATATTCGCAGTGTTTGCGCGCATGCGCATGATTCTTGAGTATTCTTGGGACAACTCTTATTTAGTTGGCATGCAGGACCATTGGTACACGTTAATTTGCCAGGTTGAGCTTTACGCAAGATTGGACAATTATGTAATCGGTCAGTTCTTATGCTCATATTGGGTAAAGCAGACTTGAGTCCGATATATGGTAGGATGGCGTCCTGCTCCGTTTACATACTACTCCTGAGATGTAAGTTTGTGAAAGAAACAAATGTAAAACGGTCATGTCACGATTATTATATAGATATTTTCACTGTTGTTTTAACGCACAGAATTCTGACTGTCATGCGATTTTTATATACTAGTATCACGGTAGAAATTGGTTCATGTCTTGTCAGGTAAGGTATGTGTAAATGTGGTATCTAGTTTTAATTTGAAGTTATTCAATCGAATTGTTTACTCATATAAAAGAATATTTTGTTGTATGAGCACTCCAGGCACAAGCAAGAAATCAGTGAAACTTATTGAGAAAAAAAATAGATCATTTAATGTTTTAGCATAGATTACGTTGTCTAGGGTTCCCATGGTAACCGAAAAATTGCAACTTATAATTGTTTTGCATATTAGGCGTATTTATTGATTTATATTTAGTAAATCAATTATGTTAAATATTTGATTTCTCTGGTTGGGTTTGTCTTATTCTGTTTAGGTGATTGGTATTGTAATAGCTTAACGTAATTTATTAGAATAAATTTTCATATTAGTTAATTATCTTTGTTTCATCTTTTTTTTTCGAAATTATTAAACAAATGGTGCAACACTCACTTATTCTGACTGGAAGAAGCGGAGTAATCAGAATCGACACGTGGCGTGTAATACAAACTGCGACATGCCCAGTCATGTGGTATCAACCGCTCAACCAACTCACCGCCTTACCTGAAATGATGAATCATGAATCCCATCACTACTGTATTTATGCTAGGATGTCGACAGTCTTTCGTACCTAATATTAATCTGTTATTATTATTAAATATTGTGTCAATGTCTAGAATACACAATTACATTAGGCCCGAGGACTGCCGACAGTCTATATTTATGTCTGCTTCAACGCTACCCAAAAACAAAGAAAATAGAAATACTAGTACCGTAACTAGTATGGGCGCCCTCTGGAGTCAGTTATATAAACTGGATTGTCATAATCAAGGATTTAGATTTGTCGCACGAAGCATCTGTATACCGTGTATAGATATACACAATATACACATATAGGAAGATGTCTGTTGGCACTAGTTACTGCAAATCTAGTCATTGACAACAATGTTTTAGTGCAATGTTTTTGTGGATCATGACAAAATTGAAGGGAAAATCGTACAGGAAAAAACAATGAAAAATAAATGTTATGGAGAATATTCATCATAGAAAAATAACTAAATGAAAGAAAAATATGAGCAGTTTTTCTACCATCGCCTCCATCTTCCAGATTTTCTAAAGGTCAACCTTTGTTCATGTACGTATCACACCTGTATCAGAGTAGGCAACACCTACTTTAGTGACCTCAGTAGAGTGACCGTATATAGCACCCATTCAACTTTTTCAACGGGCACTGTTGGGAACAATCAAACTAAAAAAATGTGGGTTGCTCAATTGGTTGGTTAATGCAGACAACGGATCTAAAAAGTAAACTATTTGCTAAAAAAAAGCATCCCATTTATAACAATTAGCATGAAGAAAAGAGTGGTATAACTTATATTTAGTGATTTTTAATTACCCAGAATTTATTCATTTTTGATTAAATTGTACCTCCGTCGGGCAATATAAGGACTTTAAAAAGTTGGAGGTCACCAGCCTAATTTTCGAGGAAATGGTGGTTGTATTTTTAATTAGTGGATAGTGGCCATTTTGGCAGTATTACAGTGCTTTCATGATCATAGGTTCATGTGGGATAATATGTCATATCTTGAATTGTAGTCCGGTGACTGAACAATTTATATGCAGAATGATCTGGGTTTTAAAAAGTGACAAAATATGCATTTTTCTTTAATCGCTTTTTTATGGAATTGTTCTAAAATAGCGATTGTTGAAAAATATTAGGAATAGGTCATTGTAACACAAAATAATGCTATTTCATGGCTCCATGATTTTACGAAATAAATTAATGAACATTGTCATGCAATTTATAACCGACTTTCTCAAAAAATATGAGGAGGCTTATACTTTTGTGTAGCTGGTCACGAATTCGGCCCCATGATGCTCTCTGTTGCCATAGTAATGTAAAACGACCATCGGGGAATACTAGCTAATCGTGCTTTGACCGTAAACTATATTTCTAGGTGATGTTTATACAGTGTATACTGTGCTATTCTATTTTACGACACTGGTGTCTATGAAACCAACATTCCTAAGTTTATTATTACTCTTCATTTTATTGTTATTCACTATTCATTTTAACTTCCCCGCAGCTCGAAACATGGTACATAAATTCCTAAGTTACCTGAAAATAAAATATGCGTTTCAAACAATCTTCCGAAGTGTAATTTCATAAAATCGGTTACCAACAAACGATTATTTGATAATAATACGAGTCATGTCATGTTGTTCGCGAGTACAAACGTAAACAAGATTCAAACAAGCCTAAACGGTGTATTCGGTTCAGTGTTTGAGTTCAAATATTTCTATAAATGTATGCTTTTAACTCAATTACCAACACATAATTTTCTTTATTGAGCTTGAAAGCAATATGCAGGCAGTGGAATGCTTGTTGTACCCTTTATTCAGACAGGGCCCACAACGATCCGAGAGAAGCGGTCAGAGAGATAAAGTAGCCTTCTCGGAGTAAAGTCAAGAGAGTTTCGATTTACAGATTTTGTCCGTATACCCTATACAATATTCTATACCCCCTCCCATCCCACGTACAGAGTCTAGCAGTCTATTTTATCAACAGTATTATTACAACTACATGTACTACGGTATTCATGCAATGCACGTCGCTTCTCAGTTACGTTCACCTTTGAACCTTGACGTCACTTCCGCACAGTTGAGATACTAATAATAAACGTAAATGTGTTACGGCTGCTGGTGCTATCACTAGCCCGTATCATATATGTTCGACGAGTATGCCTTGCAAGAACTGCTCGCTGCGTCCAAACTGAAAGCGGCTGGCGATGGTGTCGATTAGTGACAGTTGCCGCTCATGCCAGACGTCCACTCACGCTTTCTGCGAAACACGATGGACGACCAACGAGCCACAACCGGTAAGTATACATTTTATTAGTGCGCAACGTCTTATTCCCTATTGTTTATTGCACTTTCATTCGCGCATGCGTGATTTGTGTTTTCGGTCGTCTCGTACGTGACGTGAAAATATTCGAAAGAATATATATATATTGCTATATTACGTTGTAAATAAATCGTACATAAACACCGATAAGTTTGCGTACAAGCACAAAAATCGATAACTAATTATAAATCATTATGATATTACCGCTCATACATGATTTTAATTATGTCGTTTAAAAGCTCGGCGACTCGTACCTGATAACATATTTGACCTGTATACGTAAAACTTGAACGATGGAGGCAATTATTGACGTCATTGTTATTGACATTCAACAAGGTTGAAATTGACTTGCTTTCGGCAATCGACTTGGTTAAAAGTGTGGCCCGTGATTTGCAACATCCGGGCGTTATAAATAATTAATGCCATCATTGACATTAACGTTGACTAACACTGGCATTGACATCATAATGCATATAATTACCATCGTACATGATGAGGGCATTGAACCCTGGGTGATATTTGTATCATCAACAACGTAGCGACCTGAATATTTTTAAAGTCATCATTGACAACCGTGGTAATACTGTTAGCTCCAAAAATTGTACTTGCTGTCTGGAATAGAATAAATGTGTTGTTTTAATTTTTCATTTCCTTCTTAACATTTTCTAACTCGTCTATACACGCACCACTCCGTTACGTGCGTTTTGTTGCATTGTATTATTCTATAATATATTGATTTTATCTCCGTAGTTGATTTGGTTTATGTGTACAATATAAGTTATGTATATAATGTGTGACGTTATCATGGGAGTGGGCTTGATGAGTGTGGAATGTGGTTTGTGCAGTCATCACGTGATAGAGTAAGCGGCGTTAATTTTAGTTCGGACACCATGTTTTCTTGCTCAAGCGGTGTCGTTATATACACTGGTATATACAAATCTTTACAACAACTTTGATTCAGTTTAGTTCCTTATTTATCTCCAAGTCAAGTAACGGTATAAATAAAGCGCTTTTATAAATTTAATATTTTTTTTCCTTCTTACAACAGTGTCTTACATTTTTTTTAGTGATATGTGTGTGGGGGGGGGGGTTTAGAAATAAACCATTTCATTTACGTCAATTGAACAACAATGCTGTAACTTGGCAACACCGTAAGGAAAGTCAGCATTTCGCAACGATAAACCCTACTACTTGTAACAAAGTCGCCGGTGATTTGTTTTCAATATTGCTAAAAATGCGAACTGGTACAATGCGTTAGCCTCGTGAGATAAACTGAAAGTTAGAATACATTATACTGTCATCACTCAATACTTCCGGGATTAGGACTTCTGAAATTGTAATTTTGGTAGATGTGCCCGTATTAATCATAATCGTACGTATTTAGCCAAAGACATCTTTTCTATTGCCTTTGATTTAGCCTACATACAAATATAATTAATAGAATGTGCCGAACATCAAGTACCTGAATCACACCTTAGTGTGTACGAAATATTGTCGGCAGATTGGATAAACAGAGGCCGTTTGTTACTATCCATAGTTATTGTTTTAGGCTTTTAGCCAGCTTATGAGTGATTGTCCGTCGGCGTCCGTCGTCGTCTGTCGTTCGTCGTCGTCTGTCGTCCGTCGCCGTCTGTCGTTCGTCGTCGTCCGTCGTCCGTGTCAATGTTTTACTCTTTCGACTTCTTCTTGAAAACTACAATCCTGAATGCTTTGATACTTGGTGTATATATGTATATATACCTTGGGTAGACCTCCTTTAGATTTGTTCATTTCGTGATGATTTTAGTGAATATCTTTGTAATTTTTGGTAAAAAGTGATATTTTCGACTTCTTTTAAAAAAACGCAAGTCCAATTGCTTTGATATTAAATGTATTGGTACTACATTTGGACCTCTCTCAGATTTGTTCATTTTGTGGTGATATCTTCAATTATCTAATTTTGATGAATATTTTTGTTATTTTTGGTGGAAAATGATATTTTTGAATTCTTGTTTGATTGCTTTGATACTATACATATTGTTCATTTTGTAATGATATCTTCTGTTCTTTAATTGCAGTGTGCATTGCTAACAGCGGAGCTATCTTAACCGACAGGCTGCTTGTTCGACTTTTTACATTCAATTGATCAAAAATCGGTGAAAATAAATTCCATACAAAACACCAAAAAGCCTTTTCAATGAAAATTAATTCCAGCTAAAATGAGCTACAGTTGAGCATCTGCTATTTTTTTTTTATTTCGATAAAGTTTTTGGACAGACTCATTTTTATTTTCTGGCCTAAAACCCTGGTTACCATTTTACAAATGTTGTTCTCGTAGACAATAATAAATAAATTAAGAATAAAAATATTACTAACGCAGATGAAACATTGGCATTCATTTAATGGCGTCCTCTCAAAATTCTCTTATATTGACCGCTATTTATCACGAATTCTGTTCGTGTAACTAGAGCGATATGCGTGATTTTCTGCAATGATGGAACTCCGCCATTGCGTGATTGCATGCAAGTAATATAGTTTTTCAGTTTGAGGTGATCTAGTATTCGCTAAACCATCTGACTGTTGTTGCTTCAATTCTAATAATAGAATATAGATATCTGGCTGGATGCCCGGGGTCATTCGGTCTAGAGTCGGGATGTTGACCGAAATAATATTCATTGGAATCTCTCTGAAGTCGTTACCGTTGCAATTATCGTCTGCTGGAGGCAGTGTTTTCGTACATGTTAATAACGGTGTCCCGTTGTGTGACTATGTCATCCAATTCGGTCACGATATAGTGATGTTCAGTATAAATTGTCAGCTTATTGGAGTTATTGATTGGTGGTAAAGATTACATCGCTACAGCACACACACGAACATTTTAAAAAAAATATCAAATTTACATTTAAACATTAATCTGTTTATTTTAATCTTAACCGATGTGAATTGAGGCATGATTATGGAGTGCGCCACCTACCGATTGAATTTTGTCTCGATGTCAAAGTTTTCTCACCTGCGCATGATCCGTGGCATGTGTCGGTTGAAATGCGAGGTAATTTACGCTTTGTCATTAGCACAAATATAGACAGTAATGTATGGGTCCCGGCAGACGGTAAAGCACGTGATACGACTACCAATAACTCAGCAACGTAATTTGCATAATAGATTTCAATGTAATAAAAACGCGTTATTTTAAATTTGACACAAATAGACGCCTTTTTGGTAGATATCGGTGCCGGGAAATGGCGGGTTCGGTCCATGATATTTGTATTTGAGAGAGTGTACTGACACCGTGCAATTAATGTAAGTACAAATGTAGATTCAGTTTGCTTTGGGTGTTTCAGAAACCCTGGAACAGTATTATAACGATTAACTGGTTTCTATGAACGCATTGTCGCACATCGTGAATGGTTAAAAAAAACATACGATAACGCTGGTATCACTCAAACTCGATTAAACGCCATTCAATCGCTATTATTTCCATCTTCGTGGATTTATTGTGATTAGTGGTGTCGATGTGAGAAACTGATACGCGGATGTGCAGTTTGAACATCGTCCGTCGTCAGTGACGTTGCATAATTATTAGAACAGAGTATCTCCTACCTAAAAGGGGGTGTCTATATTTTACCCACGTGAACACTTGCAAATTACCAAGCAACGAGTTGTCTACTACTTAGAATGGAATTCGGGTTCAGTTAAAATAATACGATTTCATGTTTGCCTTGTTCGAATCCGTAGTGGGGGGGGGGCAATGTCACGTGATTGTATTTACATTCACACGATCATGTCGTTACCTGTCGACCAATTTGAATTCGGTTAGAGTCGTGTACAAATATTGATTCCAACATTTCTGGTGATTTATTATATTCACGCAACGGGAAAGAAATTAATATTGACACAACATAAATATTATTCTATATATAACCGTCGGTATTCAGTTGTACCATCTATTGCACTGCCGAGGGACTGCGACTCACTCCCAAATGACGTTAGTTTTTAGTTCGTTCAATGAGGCAAAAACCATTTTGTATATTTTTATTTATTTATTCTATAAAATGGTCCAAAACCCCATTGCATGTAGGTTTAATCAATATTTTCGTTAAAAAAATATAATAAAAAAAAAACACAAAAAAATGAAAAAAAAAATATGCGGGTTTGTTTTGTGAGAGGTAGCAATTGCTGGACTGGTAAACGCTAGATATACTATGTGTACGGCTATTGTTCAACGTCCAAGCCATCAAGGGTCGTACAAAGGAGAACTGTTTTGTAGCGATCTACTGGTGTCTGGGGTCTTTCACACTACATCGAACTATACTCCACAGTTTACAATGAATAGGGTGGTTGGCGCGTGGGATGACGTAAAGAAAAATATGAATATGTATGTTCTTTCACCCACCTCCGTCTTTTGTCCATATTTGCAGATTCAATTGGTACCGTCGCCATTTGGGGACTTGGTTTCGCGCCGATACTGACAATATATTATGCCTTGAGAGGCGAGATTTTTCCACGAGCAGGTACGTTGTGATTGTACTTTTTTGTGTTGGGTTTCACTCGGTCCTTACACAAAGTGTGGGTTACACTTTCAGGGCCCTATTCAGTTACACTGCGCGGTTCAGGCGTGACAGGCGTCATACAATTCTACAACGGTCATCACGAATGAAAGGGAATGACACTATTCTTCAAGTTAGTACTGGCCACGTTGTCGATCAACAAACACACGAGAATTCTAACGGACTTTTGTTATTATTCTTGTATGTTTGCTATAGATCACCCGCGTAATTCATCTGCATATGGAAAACAGTGCAGTATGTTTTGATTTCATAATTATCGTTTATTTATTCCTGAATATTCGACGCACTTGTACGAATAGTATCGATTTTTGAGGAAAATGGTGTCAGGTTTTTCTTCTCCAAAACTGGCAAAATGTGTGGTATATATAAAATATAATGTCAAAATAACTAAATTTAAAGGTACTCCAAAACCCAGAACAAATGGTTTTGTCTGGGGCGTCACGTGTTACAGACTATAACACAACTGTCAACGTATGATGTTGTCATATTCCCGGACATCATTTCAATACATAACTCATTATTTTAAATTTTATCGAAAATTCCATATTTATACGAATAAAAAATGTCATACTTATTTTTTTGGGGGATGACGTTTTATCTCAGTACTAGTGCGGGTACTCTGTTTAAATTTGGAAGATCGCATCCCTCGAATAATCCGAACCGATCCAGGTACTTGGAATAATCTGCTGCTTTGAATATATAATGAGTGTAAATAACAGATGTTGTACGACAGGATGTTCACTCTGTCATGTCATGTCAACGAAATGTTTGAACGTCCATGAAAGCAATGAGCGAACGTGTTCGTTCCGCGATATGTACCTTTCCTAAAATGTCGCGCCCTCTATCGACGAAGCGCTTTTGCGCACACCTATCACGTCACGGAAGCGTTTATCGCTAGAGGGCGCAATTTCACACTGGGCACTTAGTTTTATTTATTGTTTGCATAATGACATCATGCAGATTTATTATTTCATGTGAGTGTATGTTTCTAACTATTTATGGTTCACCTAAAGAATCATGCAAGCTACATGTGTGGTACTAGTATTGATAACACCTTGATTGTTGTTTATTATAAAGTAATACAAATTAAGGAGTACGTGTTCTGAAAAGGTGATGTTTTCCACACAATAAATACATGAAAAACTTCATATAAATAGTGTAATGTCAAACTTCTTACTGATAATAAAACATTAATTAGAAAAAGAGAAAGAAAGATACATTTCATCTCTAATGAAAATATGTGACTAATTATTTAGTTAGTTATGTATTATTAATTAATTAGGTGAGTGAGTGAAACAGTTACACATATATCATGTAATTAATTAAAATTAATTTTTATTCATTGATACATACATTTTTACGATTCTGTGAAATTGTTTTTTTAAATATAGAAAATAATGCAGGTTTGAACATAATCCGTTTACTTATTCCGTTTTCGATTCTTTTTCAGCCAATCAGCGAAAAGATAAATCAGGAGGACTGCCGTTCCAGGGAACGTCCAACACCCCCTTCGTTAAAAACAATCTCCGTGGCGTTTACACTGAATGCTTCCAGTGGCTGAAAGGGTACAATATCAACTCATCTTCCTTGGGTATTTCTTCGCGAACGAGTAATAACGCGTCGATTGCCTTACCTTCATTAATAGTCACAGATCATACGTTTGGTGTGGATGCAGTGAGCAGCTGCGATAACATGAACACCGATACCGAGGCTCTCTTGCCAACTTGTGTTGACGTTCCAGGGATGTTGACATCGGCAACGAGTAGTTCCGTCGTTGTTGATGAACTGGGTGACGAAACTAAAGGCCTACCATCGGACGTCGATCCCGCTAACACAAGTCGCCGAATGCGAAACAGAAGCTTTCTGCGTAAGCATTCAAATCTCACCATGAGTACCGATGAAGGAATCGACATGGACAGCGAACATGATATCTTCAGCTCCAAAGACAGTGGACCTGACGATTCGCCTACCGAACCTTCAAGTTCAGGTAGTGGTGGTTTTCCGCTTCCAAATGACGATGGTGAAGACATTACACATCAATTAGAGAGTCTTCTAAGTCGAAATAAAGAAGAATTCGCGACTCTGTTTCAGGGCAGAAATTGCGATGCGGGGGATATGCCTGGCACTCCCGGCAGCGGAGACTATCTGGATGTTCCCGGCGACGGAACTACCCTTTCTCAATCTAGTCTCAGCTATGAGGATGAGCTGGAATACGAAGACGAGATGGAATTATTTAAATCAAAAGACTATGAGTTAGAGGATGAATTACAACGCATATCACTCAATGATCGAGGTAATGCTGGACAACAAGACATCGTTCCTGGCACAAATGAAGAATTCGAACCATATAACGAATGGTCAGAATTTTTGCACATTGTGACTGTGAGCGGAGAACGCCGCGATGGTGACACGGTGGATGGCGGGCTGGGGAAACCCACAGAAAGAACGGGATTTACCCAGAATCGGCTTCATGAACAGAACGAGGGTGATGATGATAGCTTTGCTGTTGAGTTGAAGGATGAAACGACAAATGAAAAGACTCTATTACTAAAAGAACAATCGGAGACTGTGGAAACTCGTTTATTCGCTGCTATCGAGGGCGGGGACATCGATGAAGCTCGGAAATTGATAAGAGAGGCGAAACTGTTATTTTATATTGATGGCATGACTGTTTTACACCAGGTAGCCATGTACAACATGGCCGGCGTCGTACCGGCACTTTTTTATTTCAGCGATTTCTCCCAATTGATGGATGTAGCTGTGCGTAACCCCGCAAGTCGTTTCCATGGTTACTCTGCCATCCGCATCGCCGAGAATATGTCGCATAATAAAGTCATTGAGTCGATCAATCAATATATCGAAGTGGAGCAAAGTCTGACCGATCTTCACCGTGCAGTCAGAGGTGGACACATGAATATGATTAAAAAACTGTGCAAAGCAGGAGCGTTGGTGAATGCTAGGGCCAAGAAACACATCACCCCCTTGTATTTAGCATGTACGATCGGACGGTTAGACATCATAAAATTATTAGCTGGGTTCGGCGGAAATCTTAGAGGAAAAACCGAGCAAGGTGATTCTTTACTTCACCGAGCAGCTCAGCTGGGCTTTGTGGGCATAGCTGAGTTTCTGCTGACTAGAAGGTATGACTACGTGGATATCGACTGCCAAAACGTTAATAACGAAACAGCCCTGCACAAAGCTACGCTACAGGGCAATTCGGAAATGGTCGAGTACCTTCTCCAACGTGGGGCATCGCCTAATATCAAAGACGACTGCGTGTACACCCCTTTACACATTGTTGCTTGCGGCGGAGACGCGGATGTGGCGCAACATTTACTCCGCTATGGCGCTATCGTCGACGCATGCGACGCTGATAACTGGACCCCACTGCACTGCGCCTGCAAGTACGGCAATTTAGAAATTGAGGAGTTGCTGCTGCAAAAGAAAGCGTCGGTATTTGCGGAAACCAAAGGGCTTAACAATACTCCATTACATATTGCAGTTGAAAATGGTAATTGTAAAATAGCAGAGAACTTAATCGAGACTGGCGCTAACGTGGAAGCCCGTAACTTGTACGGCCATACTCCACTACATATATCCGCTATTATGGACAATCTAAATATGGCGGAGCTTTTGGTCGCAAATGGTGCAGATGTTGATTCTATGGATCCAGGCCAGACGAAGATCAAATCTAAGCCTCGGAGATTATACCCAATGGGAAATGTTGTCGTCCAGATAGAAAGTGTGCAGAAAATTGCGGAAATTTATTACTCAGCAACGCCGCTCCATTTTGCATCTAAACATGGCGGTATGTCAGTTGTATTGTTTTTGATTGAGAAGGCAGCCGATGTTGACGCCAAAGACCAACATGGAAAAACTCCCCTGCACTACGCCGCGGAAAGTGGACAGCTGAATGTGGTCGAGACACTGATTGACCACGCGGCGACTATCGATGCAACAGACAATAGGTGTGGAACTCCGCTGCATTATGCGTCGGTGAACGGACATGTTGCGATCGTCGAATTGCTGCTGTCTGTCGGCGCAAGCGTACAGGCCACGACAGAGAGGCGGCACACTGCGCTGCACTGCGCGGCTAATAAGGGACATGTCTCGATAGTGGAAAAATTAGTACAGAAAGGTGCTGGGGCAACAGATGTGGATGTGTACAACTGGACACCGCTACACTGGGCCGCTGCGAAAGAACAACAGCGAACTTTAGAAATGTTGATCGAGAAAGGCGCCAATGTCAACGGTGGTACAGCGGGGATGACACCTTTGCACATCGCTTGTGCACACGGCTATCTACCAACGGTCGAACAACTGATCGCTAGTGGGTCCAACGTCAATGCAAAAGACAAAGACGGTTGGAGTGCTTTACATCACGCTGCGAACGAGGGAAATCTGGCTTTAGTAAAATTTTTGATCAGAAAGGGTGCGTTGGTCGGAGAAATTGACAACGACGGGAAAACACCTTTGCACTGTGCATGCATGAATGGCAGTGAATACGTTGTGGATTACCTGCTGACCAGAGGGGTAGACGTTAATTCTCTGGACAGATTTAGGCGTTCTCCGTTACACGTAGCTGCTGGCGAGGGGCAAACAGATGTGATACAGCTCTTGATTAATGACGGGGCAGATGTAAACGCGTTTGACGATGAAGATTTGACCCCGCTTCATGAAGCAGCAAAGTATGGAAAAACAGGAGCAGTTGATATTTTGATCATTAGTGGCGCTGTTATCCACGCTCCTGATGCCGATAACTGGACGGCACTTCACTATGCCGCGTACAACGGACATACCGATGTTATTACAGCTCTCGTGAAACACGGGGCAAACGTTGAGTCGATTACGAGCTATCGCGCGACCGCTCTTCATCTCGCTGCCATGCGATCCCACCCATCAGCTGTGGAGTGTCTGATGGCTAACCGCGCTATAGTCGACCAGAAAAACCAAGCTTGTAGCACACCACTCATATTAGCCACGAGAGCTGGCAGCTCCGCGATCGTGCGCAAACTTATCAAGAATGGCGCTTCGGTGAACGCGAGAGATTCGAAAAAACGGACGTCACTTCACTACGCCGCCGAAAAGGGTCACGAAGTAATAGTCAATATACTATTGAACCACGAAGCTGACGCCTCTATCCGAGATAGCAACTGTGAGACTGCTTTGAATCTGTCCATGAAATACGACAGAAAAGACATATCTGGTTTACTCGCTGACGCATCGTATCGATCGTCGATATGTGCGTGTAGCGTACAATAACAGTTCGTACAGACCGTATTCAGAAATTAACAGTATGCGTTATCGTGGCGTAACGATTCGAGCATGCACAGTCAAATCATTACGAGTTTGTTTTTAAGGAAGTTTTAGATTTTAACTTAAATTGGTTTTAATTGAAATATGTGATTGATGCAAGTCCTCTGGTCTTTTAAAAAAACGACACTAAATTCAAATAAAGCAGCATTATGCTGCACACTGAGTTCAATACATGTAATTGCAATGGATCAAATGACCGAATGATTGCTTAAAGGGTGGTGTGCAGCGCGTGTTCGAATTTCATTTTACACGCGCTGTGTACATCGCTATACAGTCCCATATCGAACACGACGCGGCGCGACGACCGTCGCCCTTTAACCATTTCACAATTTGCACGTGTGAGCTCGTCTTTAAAGGCAGACGACTTGATTTAATTCTGTACTACATTTTTAATACCACAGTTAACTACCAAAATTAACTACTTTGTCTACCAACAAATCTTGTAATATCTACTAAGGTAGTACATATTCAAATTTTAAGTAAATAATTGCCAGACCTTTTAGTATGATTGCATAGTGTAATGTCACATAGCGATCTTACAAATATGGTTAATTTAATTCGGGGAAGTAATTCTATCTAAACATGGTTGCAGATACTAGTATTGTGAAAAAGCAGAAGAATAAATTTTCATTCCTGTTGGGAACCTATTTAATTCACTTTTTTATAAACATTACGTATGTATCTGTCGAGCTGTGCGTTTCAGAGCAGAACCTATGACGACATCGCATCGCATATATATGCTTTACGGCAACAGCGCACGAATTTCACTAAAAGTACACAATTGTATAAATCAAAACAAGTTTAGTTTTGGATTTTAGATTTCTGGAACTACCGTGCGTATTTTATTGAATGTTTTTATTATGGGCAGTGCAATTAACTACCGTTAAAGTAATAATTTTCACTGGGATTGTTCACTATTATTATTTTGAGCATATATTCACTGTGATTTAATTTAATGCATTTACTGGGGGAAATATTGTTTTCAGTGGTCATCTTCACGTCAATTTAATTTTGAGATTTTATTCTTGTGAACATTAGAATTAATGCATTTACAGTAGTCACAAGAGGCTCGTATTTACAAAGAAAAATTGTAATTTGCTGGGAATTTGAGGATAACAAGTTTAGTTTCAATTTTATGTCAAATTGTTGATTTTAAATAGCGTGATGTTTTCGTTATTCGCACAATCTAGTATGAGAAAGGCAATTATAGCATTTTAACCAAATTGATAAATGTCAATGTATTATGCGTGCAAGCTCCCGACCGTTGTTCATTTGTTTGTCATGTGAGATCAGGTACGTAATGGTCAATTTTGTACCATGGCACAGAGTTGACACCCCGAGTCGGAGCTCTCTGCCAGTTTGTTTCAAATAAATGACCTGAATAGCTTCGTTGATCTGTTCAGACCAGGGCACATGCATCTCATGCAGCATGGTTTTAAATCTGATGTAATATAGTTTAAAATAACATGAAATATATAATTTATAATGTCGGAATGAATGGCACAGCATTTTAATAAATAGCCCAGTGCTAAAACATGATAAGAATACTATGTTTTCGTTTTAAAAACGCCGCTAGTTGGCGCTTTTTCGTCACTCGTTGTATTAACATTTACAAGCGTATGTTTTAATGAGCACTTTTTGATAGGATGTTTTTGGTTTCTCGGTGCGAACTTAGAACACGCCGTCAAATACCGGAGTTTTAATCTTTAGTGTGTTAGGTCTTGTATGTAACTTACAGTCTGATATCTGCCGACAGAGGGCGTAATATTGACTGGCTAGAACTGCTATTTATTTGACGAGTGTAATTATTAGCATTAAATGTGATTCGAATAGGATGGATTGTGTTACTATTGTTTTATAATGCACGAATACACACTGCCTATACTGATACAATACAACTACGCCCCCTAGTGACGGAAAACTTAGGTGACGTCAGCGTAACGTATCTGTGTACAAATGGGCAATTGTGTTCGGCTGGTGTTGTATTACGTCATTTAGAATGTAGCAAATTTCTAAACAATAAATGATGTTCTTTTCTCTCTAATCTGTTACAAAGCGCGGTATCGCTAGAGGGCGCAACTTATGGGACAACTTACTACTCGTTGTATTGAGTGTAAGGCCAGACTTTTTTATTCCTTGTTTTTCGAGTTTTTATAAGGCATTTTTTTTGAGGAGGGCGACTTGGATTTAGTATGCGGCGGGCGGTAAAAAAATGAAGATAAAAATTAAATTTTTTTAGAAATTTTTTGCGCTTTCAAGTCGGCGGGCGCGAGAAATTATGCTGAAATAACATTTTATCTTTATTTCATTTTCGGCTCCTGTTGATTCGGCGGGTTCGCGAAACAAGGGATATTAAAAGTCTGGCCTAAACTAGGTTTACAACTTTCTGAGATTTAATGAAAACAAAATAACGAAGGGTGATTATTCAGAATTGTTCGTGTCGTCACAGCCATGACCTTATACAACATTTAATCTAATTACCCATACAACATACATGGCACAGTGATTTCCTTTCCCGTTGAAGCCAGTAATTAATGTGATTACGATAAGACCAATATTACAGTCAACTACGGCGCGTGACCTCTGAACTATGTCATGTGATTAAACACCAGACGTAATAATTGGAATGGTGAACATAGAATAGGCGCCGTTTTTTATACGGAAAACAGATTACGATGACATAAAACAGTTATACGTGATGAATGAAAATCCTACATGATTCTGAAGAGGTCATATAGGCTCTCAGAATTGAACCTGTCTCGAATCTGTACAATATAACTCTACGTTAGTAACTCCCCTTTCTCTTTACAGCTCATCGCAGTAGCCCATTACGACATTAATTGTATTTGAGGGGACAGTCGAGGCCTAGAAGTGCTACATATACCCACTGATTCGTGAATTTCATGTGTACTTCTGACATCTCCATGGGTTTATACTGTAAAACATGTCTTTTTAGCTAATCCACAATTCCGCTAAATTAAGATATCGCTAATTTGAATAGAGTTTATTCTCATAGTAAGATTATTGGTACTTTAGCTAAATCAAGATTCAGTTAATTCATGCATTGAGTCAAATTCGCTAAAATAATATGTAGCTATTTCAAAGTGTTTTACAGTATTTAATTTAATTTAATCATAGTATACTAGTATAGTATATAGTATATAGTATATAGAATCATAGTAGTTTCATGACGTCATACCATTACTTCTTGAATATGTATCGAATATGGAAAACAAAAGTACTCGGCAATTGGTATAAATCTGTACTAAAGAACCAAGATAAATAAGATAGACAGATGACTCTCAAGTATGCGAAGTACTGTCTGTGCTCAGTGACCTGACAAAATTTCATGACTTGCGCCCTCTGTCGACAGTTATGTTGGCTTCGTAAACATCGGTGGGTCGTAACATGTAAACCTGCGCGCAATAAATGTTTGTTGGATAATAAGCGGCACTGGCTAGCTGTGACCAAGATGTCACTGTGAATGAGTTTTACACAGTACGCGCGAGGCAGTAAACAATGAATCCCCTGTGTTATCCCCAGTCATCTATGGCTTCTGTCACTCAGACACGCAGTATCGAGGTAATGTTTGGTGGAATTGACGCGCTTTGTATAATAAGTACCGTATTAAAACTTAATACGCATGCGTAGATCAAATCGATAAGAAGTCACGTCAACGGTCTGGGACACGACTGCGATCAACTCAAACTTACGTTCTACTGGAGAATCTAACGACTTCTCGATGTAGTGGTGACTATACAGACAGACTAAAGATACATCAAGGTAGGTTTAGACGGGGGATACACTCGATGTAGCCTAAGTTTAGTCGATAAGCACCAACTTGGTTGCCGTTGGATATGGCGGAAGTATTAAGGTGTTAACATGAGACAGGCACGACAGTTGTGTTTGTGAAGATCAAAGTCCACAAACGAATATACGGTTATGGATGCCATTTTAAATAATTTCAAAGCACGTCACAAAGGAACAAAAACACATAGAAGTTATAAAATAGGTCAGCGTTGAAGTTAAGAAAACACAATCGGTGTTGTGTTTCCGTCGCCGCGGGACCGGAACAGCTGTTTGAATGAAAGAACATTGTTTGGAAAACTCTGGTGACTGACTTAGGAAATAAACACGATAGGTTTCAAGTAACGGTACAGTTACGTACAGTATACGGGGCAAATCTATGGAACTAAAAGCCAATGCCGCTGTATAGATAATCGAAACAGGGTCATGGCTATATGATAACAGTACCAGTGTATACACCCAGTTTATCATTTCTCTTCCTGTTTCGAAGTGATACGCCAATTATACCTCCGTTGTTTACTTGGTCATTATTTTTAATTGACTATAATGTTGAAAACACAGCCGCTCTGTCTAGAACCAATGACCACACCGCCCACATTCAAGTTAATCGACCATTAATCCGACATTTCTTTAGATTGAGTATATTTGCTGTTTAATTTAATCGTTTTAAGACTTCACACTGCTTATTACGTTCCCATTCAGAAATTGACAAGTTCAGATTCCAGTGTCAGGGACCCACAGTCTCCCTGCCAGAGACTGTGTATCACCTCGGACATCGCATATTGGTCGTTTTCTGACTGCGGTATCAGCCTTGATCGGCAGCACTAAACAATTAGTTCACGGTCAAATAGATTACTGCGTTAATATGTGATCGGACGTTTACTAGGTTTTAAATTATAAATTTAAATTTTTGAAGGACACAATGTGAGTTATTAAAATGTACATATGTTCAAGCATTTACTTATATGGTTCAGAAGGATGTCTAATTTTAGCAGATTTCACATATCAGCAAAAACCCAGTGAATAATTATTGTGTTTTTTCGACCAAAAATTGCATTAGTCACGAGAGGTGATGACTCGCACGACACTCAAATAAACTTCAAACAGAGGACGCGTAGACATATTGACAAAGAAAAGAAAATAGTTAGTTATTAACCATGGAATTCGACCTGCCTTAGTATACGTACATGCTTTTGTGTTCCCAGTGAATGATTGACCGCTATATTTATATATGTATATACTATATATGTAATATGTGGGCTGGTGGGGACAACTATAAAAAAAAAGGCAGGCTTGCTCACAACAGAAGAATGTGAAAAATAAAAAAAATAGATAACAGTCTTTTTTATTATTTACTTTAGGTACTAGTATACAATTATATACGCCTGTAACAATTTTAGCGTGTTTTATCTTTGTGAGTTATTTTGTATGTATATTCGTAATCGTGAAAAGCTCGTTTTACCACGGGTACGTATATGTGGTATACGCAGGTATTGGTGCCCTAAGCAATGAAGGGTGGGATAGGTCTAATCTTATCAGAGTTCAAAACAAATTACTGGTACTGGAATTTTGGCTATTTTAATACTGTTTTTTTTGGTCATAACTACGATATGATCATGACATAATTGGATCACCACCCTTTTAAGTATGAAAATACGACATTAACACGAGATGTCGTAGTAATGACATCGAGATATCGTGAAAAATACGATTTATCGCGTTATTATGACGTACAAAATAGCTTTGCATGTGATTAGCCTGGTAACGTATCTTGAAAAAAAAATCGCTTATGAACGCATCCTACCACTCTGACGTCACGTGATTTCCACTGGGTGACATATTAATTGTAATTCTACGCGTGATTTATTCATTATTAATATTAGGTAGCCGATATAAATTTGAGTAAATTGTCTGCTTTTTTAAAAATTGTAGATGTATTTTCGTGTTATAATCGTTTGACTATTTGCTTTTGTCGAGAATCATGAAGGTGGCGATGACATGTAATTGCATATATCACTGTTCATATGGGCAGTAAATTTGCATGCTGATTGCTATAAAATTGCTACTTGTTGTGTGTTTTTTAATTGCATGACATACCAGAAATTGAGCTTTTGTAAAAGGTGTAATTATCTTTTTTTATTAATACGTTCTCGTGTTTTTACAGATAGTCTAACCCTGCCACCATGAATTACAGTCAAGCGGTGGAGCTGCGGCTCTACGAAGCCATCAAGATTGGCGACCAATTCACCGCCTTGGAGCTGGCGAAGGTAGCCGATCTCTACACGACACGAGATGGGTTCACTCTTCTGCACCATGCTGCGTATTACAATCGGGCGCAGTTCATAGCCGCTCTGTACGTCTATGTTGATTTCGCAAAATTGAAAGACGAACTTGTTAACGACACGTCCAACGATTTCTATGGACTCTCGTCGATGGATATCGCCGAAAAGATGAACCACATGGACGTAGTGAACATTATTAAAGAGGTTGCCCAGTCGGAAAGGTTCTTGACTCCCCTGCACCGAGCGGCGAGAGCTGGGGACACGAAAGCTATTGGCAAACTCGTTAAGGCCGGGCAGCAAGTGAACGCGACGAGCAAATACGGGAACACGCCGCTACATATGGCATGTAGCGCGGGAAAGTTAGGTGCGGTGAAAAAGCTAATCAAACTGGGCGGACACGTCAATGCAAGGACCTCGCGGGGAGAGACGGTGCTGCATCGAGCGGCAAGCTGGGGACACTACGATATAGTTGTATATTTGATTACGAAAGAAGGATTCCGCGACGTCAACGTCTTGAATGAAGATTTAGAGACGCCGCTACACAGAGCTGCCTACTACGGCGCTGCCAATATCGCCGAGCTTTTGATACAGAAAGGAGCATGGGTTGACGCTAGAAATAAGCATAAAATAACCCCGCTACATCGAGCGTCTTATAACGGCCATTTGCGAATCGTCCAGCTGTTGGTGCAGCGTGGAGCGCAGTTAAACCGACCGAACTACAACGGTAACTCTCCGGTTCATCTCGCGGCCGAAAAGGGACATTTGGGCGTAGTAGACTACTTGTTGAGGAAAGGCTCTGATGTGAATATGGTCGGTGAGTTCGGAAATACATCACTGCATTTCGCCGCAGGAAATGGCCATGTATCTGTAACGGACATGATTTTACAAAACAATGCATTGCCCAATATAAGAAACAAGGATGAATCCACACCACTCCACCTGGCTGCAATTCATGGTCACACGGGTGCCGTGCGAGTTCTCCTTCAACATGGAGCCCAGGTGGACGCCATCGGCGAACATCGCGCAACGCCTCTCCTTATGGCTTGCTCCAGCGGCAAACTGGACACCGTTGAAGTGTTACTGCATGGCGGCGCATTGGTAAATGCGACAACGGATAAACGAAATACGCCGCTGCACTATTCGTCGGGAAAGGGACACACGCTCGTCGCGGAGCTACTCATACAAGAGGGCGCTATCGTCGATTCTACAGATAGTTACGATGCCACTCCGCTGCACCACGCGTCCGACCAGGGCCATTCCAGTGTGGCACAGCTTTTGTTGGAAGAAGGTGCAAATGTGGATGCCATGAACCAGTATAATCGGACCCCTCTTCACTATTCTGCTGAAAAAGGCCATTCCATGGTTGCAGAAGTACTGCTAAAACATGATGCCATGGTGAACGCCAGTAATACGTACCTCGCTACTCCACTCCATCTTGCGGCCGATAAGGGGCACCTTGACGTTGCCCGCCAGCTACTACGAGCTAACGCTGATGTAGAAGCAAAGGACAAAGAGGACTGGACACCATTACATTTTGCTTCAGAACGAGGTCACCTGCACATCGTTAAGTTATTGGTAGAGAAAAACGCCCCAGTTGATGCGGAGAATAAATTCAAAGACACTCCACTGTTAATGGCTTCAGCAAACGGGCATCTCCAAACATGCGATTACCTAATCCGCAGCGGCGCGTGCGTGAACGCTATCGGTGACGAAGATGAGCAAGGGTGCAAAATTACACCTATCCACGCAGCTGTCTCTGGTGGACATCTCCCGGTGGTGGAACTCTTAATCAAGAATGGCGCCGAGGTGAACCCATCCGAGGAAGGCATCGTTACTCCGTGTCACCTGGCGGCATCCAGTGGTAACACCCTCGTTCTCGAAAGTCTGATTCAACATGGTGCGAATATTAACAGAATTGCCGAAGTCGACGGCTGGCAACACCGACCGATCCACGTTGCTGCCGAGGAGGGCCACCTGGCTATGGTCGAGCTGCTTGTTCACAAAGGAGCTGTCATAAACGCGCCCGATACTGACAGACCGCTGCACCGAGCTGCAGCTAACGGTAGACTGCCTGTCGTCGAGATGCTACTGTTGAAGGGTGCGGTTATTGACGCCCCAAATCGCTACCACTCGACGCCCCTGCACGTCGCGTCTGACAACGGTCACGCCGATGTCGTCCAGTGTCTACTTGAGAAAGGCGCCAACTTTACTCGTATCAATTCATACGGCCGCACGCCTCTTCATTACGCCGCCGAGAAGGGCCACGTTCAAGTGTCTCACATATTAATCAAAGCTGGCTCACGTGTCAATGTACCGGATAAAAATCGTGAAACCCCAATGGACCTGGCGTTACGAAATAACCACTCCGATATGGTGGACTACTTGCAACAGAGAAGTGGCAAGAACTGTGTCATACAGTAATACAGACTAACATACCGCCAACCTTTTCCCGCCATCTAACGTTATGCTTATCATTGCCATATTGAATAATATTAATGTTGATACAATTTAAGCGGCAGTGGTCACAGGATAAACCGCCGTACACGACGGCTGAAACCGAGACACGTGTATGCAAATTATATATCCAACTACCTGGTGAACCTGTCAATCAAATCGTTGTATCATCGGCTGGTTTTGTTTATAAAGCCCCTCACACGCTCGTCAATTATTGATATTCAACTGTCGCCTGTATATTGTCTCATAGGCAGTGGAGGGTATGGCATTACGATTTAGTATAATTCAACGTCGGCGCATTCACCCAGACATGCGTTGTAATTTTAATAGTTTAGATATTGAAACTCCAAAAACACATTCTTTTAACTAGAGTGAGCAGTTTTTTTTCCATACTGTTTTAGAAATAACACTTTTCTTTTTATGTGCCGTTTTACTGGTGCCGAGATGCAATTTCAGACGAAGAAATTAAAAAAGAAATCCCCCAACGAACTCAGATTAGTTTATGGGTCGAAACTGAACTCTGATTTGGCTATAAAAAGTCATTAATTTCTTATGCTAAATTGGACCTGCTTTAATGTAAATACAAATCACTGATCATGTACAGTTTTACTTTTCAATCTACTTTTTTTTTCAAAATACGTCCGTAGAAACGAAGTAAATGATACCATAGGCTATACATCTTATAAAATATATTATACAAATCTATAATAATTGTGTGCAATAAACACGAAAACTTCTGATCTGACATGGCATCTTCTTGCCGTTGAGCGCCCTCTTTAGCGAAAAATTAGCCTCTTGTGCGCAGTGCCTTTGAGGGCAGCAAACAAAACGCAAGAAAGCAACATGAAGCTGCCATTGGCTCTCCTGTAATATATTATGGGCCAATTGGACCCATATGAAACAGAGAATCATTCACTTGAAAGCGACACACTTTTAATTACAAGTCATGTGATTTTAATAAATATGTTTGTATATAAAATAGAGATAATGATTGAGATTGCAATAAAGGCATGCCTTTGATTACCATACGATGGTCAGTTGTTTTGTTCGTTGTTGCCGTGGTAACAATACTACTTTATGACTGCAGTACATACTTATGTTTCCTAATAAGTAAAGAAATGTTTAACTTGGATAGATATATCTTTCTTTTATTGAGAGGTGTACATCCTTTCACAAAACACCACGGCATACAACAAGATTGGGCCACCAAAGTGGCATAGAAAATAAGTAATGTAAATGTGACAAATTTTGAACGTGTTCAATAAGTAGCAAAACAGATCACTGGATAACATCGTCGTAAGTGAATTTTGAAGATACCCAAATTTCATTTCTACTGCCAGACTTAGTAAATTACTTGGCTAAGCTAATCAATATGGATAGTAATAGATAATCTCGTAAATGCCATGACATGTTGTATAACACAGAAGAATCGGCCGCAGATAAAAACAAAATACGTAAGAGACAGTCCCAAGACAGTCAATTGTGTGAGTCCGGACGGAGTGTCCAAACACGTATACTAGTATATGCATAATAATTTTGTTGCGATCATTTCAACATTGATTGGTTCTTATTTTCCCGCCACCGTGACGTCATATCAACCATTCCTTACTGTGACCAATTTATATTATTACAAGATCTATCAAATGCTCAGTTATTTCGATTGAAACCACTAACTTACACGTCTCATTGAACTAGCTGTCATACGAGGCCAACTCCATCTGTAGACTAGCGACATTTAATTTAATTTGTTTAGTTTTCTTGACAAATACAATTATAGTAAACTGTAAAACAATCTCTCCAAAATGTTGTTTCAAAATTGGACTTTCATGCAAAATCCACTTCCTCCCATCACAGGCTATTTTACAACGCGTGGTTATACGTTCGAAAAAGACGTGCAAGTAGCCTTGGGGCTCAGCCAAGATGAATTCTGGGACATAAAATATGCAATACTTAGGATAGGTGCAGGAAGACAGGATGTTGTTGATAGTCAGGTCGATATTGATAATTTAAATTTATTCGCAAAAGCAATCATAATATATGGTGTGGCGTCCCCAGGCTGCATGCGTCTTGAAAACCGTGCTGGGAAACCCCAAAGACTCAAAGGGGTGAGGGTGTATATGTATTCCGTATTATGTAATACTCATCATATTGTCAAATACAAAAATGGCCAAGATTGACCACCCATAGGCGCACCTCAGTGCACATCGCTTATAGACGATGAACTTCATGTTCATATAACAGATAGAAGCTGATTGTTTTTAATATCCCAATTAGGAGAGACATTTACCAGAGTAAACAGGCGCGTATTTTATCCGAACTATTCCTGATGGCGGCGATTGGTCACGAATCGAAGTATCATACTTTCGTAAAGTATTTTTCTTACGCAAGTTTCTTATCACGTTTTCGATGCAACTAATTGTTTTCAAATTGAATGATGTCGAGGCGCAAACAAAGGAAACTAAGCACGAAAGTGTCAACTTTGAAATTTCCACCAAATCGAATACGAATTCCAATTTCTCATAGTTTTCTTTGTATTTATTAACTTCTGCCAGTCAATGACCTTGTATATAAGCGAATAAATTGAGTAAGACAATTTTAGTATAAGGTTCAAATTCTAATTTTGCAATGGTTTCATTTTTCGGATTCATATTTAGTTTTCTGTCGTGTAATATTCACTAATATTGTACTCATATTGTACTAAAAAATTCATTACTACGCGATAGGTAAATGTTTAGTTTGTAACACCGCGAAATCCTGAAAAAGTTATATTGTAAATTACTTTATTTTTGCTTGAAATTAATTTTCGCTGAAGGAACGATTCAGTGAAAAATAAAAACCAGCGATTATATTTTTTTTCTTATATTTTACATTCAACTCGTCAAAAATCAGTGAAAATAAAATCCACACAAAACACCAAAAAAGTTTTTTCAGCGAAAATTACTTCCGGCTAAAATAAAGTATTTCACAGTACTAGTATTCATTTGATTCCTTTGTTTGTATGCACGGGATGGGGTCGTGTACGTCATCCATCAACTGAGAGTTGATGACGTAATCGTACACAGAATAACACGAGCACCAGCAACCACCGAATGGTAGATTGGTCTTTGATCTGCTCTTCCATTGGACAATTAGTTCACGTGACTCTGAAATAGCTCCTCAATGCATGAATGAGCATTCTCGCGAGCCAGAATACTAGTATGTGTTTTTCCTCTATTAACAACACAGTAAGTAGCCGCTGCAAGAGGGCATGGAAAACGGTGATATGAAGTAGCAGGTAAAGTGCTAGCAATCTTATTGTAAGAACACATCTTAGCAAACGTGCAGTGGAACTAAATTAGGGAAATACGTAATTATGTTGTGAATTATATCTGTCAACAGTCCACAATCAATGCCAAATTATTAAAACATCAAACAAACAATAAACCCCGTTGAACCTCTGTCAGTTTTTTTTCCGTTGTTCCAATCTTTCATTCCATCTTCTGTTGTCAATTTTATTGGAATAACCTCCAATAACAATGCAATTACTCACAGATATATTTCGGTATTTTTCAGTTTAATATCAATGCACAAAAATATTATTCTGTCGACAGCAAAATATTATTTGAAACAGTCCCCAGTGCTGTCAATAGTCAACAGTTCACCGTTGCAATCTCTGTACCTCGTTATCATTGTTGACCTAAAAAAACATTTTATTTGTTATAATTTTAATATTATTTTATTCCACCTGATCTATTTTGTTAAAACCACGCCTAGCATTAAACTTATTAGAACTTGAATCGAATGAAACATAATACTGGTATCCATGGAGCTCAAGGAGGAGGATGTTTGGGGACTTGATGATTGGGGACACTGATCTTTTG